AATAGAGTGGTAGTCAGGAAGTTAAAACAGAATTATATGTGTAGATACTTTCTGTTTCATATAGTTAATGAGCATTGGTGCTACTTCTATTCAAAAACTATTTGCATGTTAATGTTGATATGGTGTTAAAAAATAAAACCTTCTGCATTAGGCCAAGCCAAATCTTAACCTAAGGTTAATTTACTCAACATAAAAGGATTCCCTAGGGATTCAAAACATTATAAACATTAATCTGACAGTAATTTTGTACTATTGAGTTTAAAGTTTAATAGGGGAAATAAGATGTATTCTCTTTATGTATTTATCATTAGAATAAGAAATGGCAATTCTAAAAGCACATATAAAGGTAAAAAGAACTCAGGAGAAAAATATTTTGGAATGAGGGGTATCAGAAACTCTAGGAGCTAAAAAGGAAAAAATAGAGAATATTTAGAGGTATTCAAATGGAATAAACACTAAGAAGCAAAGAAAAACCATACACAAAGACATAGAAAGATGATGATCATGGGAAATTTTTCAGGTGGAATCTTGGAAAGCATCTTTTTATGGTGTGGGTTTTGCCCCCTTTACATACTGCTGATCTAAAATGTTACCATGTCTGTACAGTGCTGGATTGTTGGGTGTTTTACAAGCTAGAAAATAAATTTACAAGAGATTTGGTTTTCCCATTGCCATTGCTCGGAATCTTTCAATTCTTTTATTTAAGCCCTTTTTGTTTCTTATAGCCGTGCTTTTTATTCTTTCTTAAGGCTAAACCATGGTCTTTTCCTCTCCCCCCAATTTTTTCCCCCACTACTTGATAGCTAAGTTTTTTTCTTCTTCAACCCTAAATCCTTTTTCAATTTCCCAGGAAAAATCCGTAGTCACTTTTCTCAAAATTATTTTATACTACCAACCTGTACATAACATAGAGGAATTAAGACTTATTAAAAATCAACCTCCAGGCCAGTATTTATTTATTTACAGTGGATCCCACCTGTAATCCTAGCACTCTGGGAGTCTAAGGCTGGTGGATTGCCTGAGCTCAGGAGTTTGAGACCAGCCTGAGCAAGAGCAAGACCCCGTCTCTAAGAAAATAGCCAGGTGTTTTGGTGGTCCCAGCTACTTGGGAGACTGAGGCAAGAGGATCACTTGAGCCCAAGAGTTTGAGGTTGCTATGAGCTATGACAGCACAGCACTTTACCAAGGGTGATAAAGCAGACTGTGTCTTGATTAAAAAAGAAAGAAAGAAAGAAAATCAACTTCCATTTCTCCATGCTAATCAATTACAGTACTCTTTCATTTAGAGCCCAGAGACCTTAATTCCAGTGGTTCTTAAAGCAAGCGTGGCTACATAAGCAGCAGCAACATCACCTGGGAACTTACTAAAAATGCAAAAAATATGAAGGTCCACCTCAGACCTACTAAATTAGAAACTGGATGTGAAGTACAGCAGTGTAGTCTTCCAGGTGATCTGAAGCACGTTTGCCATACTCCTTTACAATACTCAATAGTTTTCAGGCAGACAAATTAAAGAAAGGAATAAATCTGAAGTAGCAAATAACATATAAAGAGTTTCAGAAGTTGTGTCAACTTCTTAGCCATTTTATGTGTCAGGCTTTTTGCAGGGTGTATTTTCTCCATTTTATAGAAAATGAGGCACAGAGACTGTTCATGGTCATGTAGCTAGAAAGTGGCTGATTAAGAATTTTAATTCAAGGTGCTATCTGTAACACTGGCGCTTTTTGGTAGGAAATAAGTCCCTACTTAAAAATATCTTTTTCGTGTAGTTGGATACAATTTTTTCGAGGTCAGGTTTTTTTTTTTTTACGTACACAGCAAAGTTTTTTAATGGGCTACCTTTGTATCTCTGATGGGCACAAAAATTTCCAAATATACTACTTTTGTAGACTTTTTTTTTTTTGAGACAGAGCCTCAGGCTGTCCCCCTGGGTAGAGTGCTGTGGCATCACAGCTCACAGAAACCTCCAACTCCTGGGCTCAAGCGAGTCTCCTGCCTCAGCCTCCCAAGTAACTGGGACCACAGGTACCCGCTACAACGCCCAGCTATTTTTTGGTTGCAGCTGTCATTGTTGTTTTGGCGGGCCCAGACTGGATTTGAACCCACCACCTTAGGTGTATGTGGCCGGCGCCTTAGTTACTTGAGCCACAGGTGCCAAGCCACTTTTGTGGACTTTTACTTTATTATTTATTTATTTATTTATTTTGAGACAGAGTCTCAAGCTCCCGCCCTAGGTAGAGTGCTGTGTCATCACAGCTCACAGCAACCTCAAACTCCCGGACTCAAGCAGTTCTTCTGCCTCCACCTCCCAAGTAGCTGGGACTACAGGCGCCTGCCACAACGCTTGGCTATTTTTTGGTTGCAGCTGGCATTGTTGTTTGGCAGGCTGGGACTGGCTTCAAACCACCAGCTCAAGTGTATGTGGCTGAGCTTAGCCACTTGAGCCACAGGCTTCAAGCGTAGGCGTTTACTTTATAATAGATTATTTTTTATTTTAAGGTTGGCTATAGAAAGCATTCCACATGCCAGGCTTTAAGAAAACTAGATAAATAAAAATCTAAATTTAAATTAAGTATTGATTTGTGACACGGAAGTGTTCTCAGGATTCACTATATGAAAAATGGAAAGTCATTTCACATAAAACTTTGTACATTTCTCAACATAATTTGTCATGTAAAGAAAAAAATGCTTGGAGTAATTGTACCAGGTATTCCAGAAGGACATTTACATATTATTATTAAATTCAGCCACACTTCTCTTTCCATTGTAGTGGTGTGTTTTTAAGCAGAGGATAGAAAAGTTTTAATTAATATGCTAGATGTATAAGTGTGGGTCATTTTAAAAGTTTTGAGATACACAAAAATAAAGAAATGTAAAATCCATGTGGACAAAAACAAGTGAAGCCTCCCCAGCAACACTGATGAGCCCAAGCGAGTTAAAACTTGCATGGGTGAATCAGAAAAGTTTCTATCAAGTGTGTTTCTTGGACAGTCTGTCTCAGAACTTTCTTAGTGACCCACCTATACCCACCAAAGTAACTTGAGTATCTTTGTTAATATGGAATAAGGAAATCATGAACAATCTTTTCCACTTTCCATTTACTTTTCTTTGCATTCAGTTTTTTGAACAGGCAATACATTTATATAATCCAAAAGGTATGAAAAGATGTAATATCTTCTCATCTGATTTCCAAAGACACACTACTGTAAAGAGTTTCTCTTTTGGAGATATTTTATACATATGTGCAAGCAAGTACAAATACATTTTTCATTCTCTTTAACACCAATAATGTGTTATATATACTATTGTGTTCCTTGCTTTTTACATTTAATACATATTTTCAAGATACTGCCATCTCTCTATATAAAGCGCTTCCTCATTTGTTTTTCAGCTGTATCATATTTGATTAACAATGCTATAATAAATAACTATGGCATCTTTACACATGTGTGCCATTTTAATCTAGAGGACAGATTGTAGAAGTCTAGTAAAATTTAACTTTTTCATCATTTTATTTTTGCTACACTTCATTGAAGTTCAAATTTCTGCATACCTTCACCAACAGTCCATTTAGTTTTTAGTACATTTTCCTTCCCAACACATGTATATATTTTGATAAATCCATTACTACAGGAAGTAGTATCATAAAAGTGAGAACTTCACTTTGGCTTTATGCCAATACAGAACAAGATTCTACTCGTTTTCATCTTTAAAAAAAGCGTATTCCTTTTTTAGGCCTCTTTAAATTGTGATGATAAAATTTAGTCGTTTTTCAAAGAGAAGCAAAAGGCTTACTATTCTATATGTAAATAAATGCCTTTTGTAAAATTATTTCAGATTACTTATATTAAAGAATATCATAACAAGAATAAGGCAAGAATCTTGTATTAGAGCTCTGATTTTTAAAATAGACAAAACATTCTTAGCTGCTTAAATATCAGCAAAAATAAAATGATGAAAAAGTTAAATTTTATCAGACTTTTTCATTTCATTAGTATTTAATAATCTATTGAATAGTAATATCAGAATGCTTTAAACATGGCTTGAAGGCTGAAAGAACGTAGGGCTCCTTTGAAACTAAATTTCAGCAGTGTTGTTGAGTAGAATTTAAACAATTCACAATGCCCACTTTGAGTGCTTCTGAAAGCAGGAAGTGTATTACTGATACGCAGAAATATTCCAGTCCAAATAACATCCCTACTGCCATATGTGGTAAGAATTTGTCACTAACCCACAAACCGCTTCTGTAATGCAATGAATAAGCAGAATTGGTCTTTGTTGGACATTTCCAATTTGATATGAAAGAACTTTGTTTTGCAGTGTCTTATAAGTAATTATTAGCTTATGTCTTGAAGAGAGCCTGGCACATCATGGGTGCTCATGGTTCATTGAGAGAAGGAATAAAGAAACCTGTACATAATTCTTTTAGACATGATTTTAACTTGATTATTGGTACCCTTAGTTTAAACACAGAAATTACTTGAGTATGTTAAGGACTGAGTTAAATATTCTGACTCAGCTTATTAATGATATCTTTAAATACTTTTTTATTCTAGCTGCCCTCTTCATTGCTTATTTGAAATAAATACTAGTTAGATGTTTGCACTTAAGCTAAAAAAGAAATTATTCTTGGGGGTCAATTATAAAGGGATGGGGAAATTAAGAGCTTTAGAGCAGGAGTACTCAAACTTTTTAAACAGGGGGCCAGTTCACTGTCCCTCAGACCATTGGAGGGCCAGACTGCGGGCCCCTGGACGAGTCGGCTGCTAATAAGCAGGACAGGCAGTGGTGGCAAAAACACCAGGCAGCCCGGATAAATGTCCTAGGTGGGCTGCATGTGGCCGGCAGGCTGTAGTTTGAGGACGCGTGGCTTAGAGAAACAGAAAAATGAATTGTGAGGTCTTGGGGTCAGCAAAATTCACTGACGACTTTGTAAATCATTAAAATTTTGAAAGTATTGATATTTCTCTAAACTTTAATTTTTTTTTTTGTATTTTAAGCGATTAAGAAGATTGTCTACTAAATATAGAACAGAAAAGATATATCCCACAGCCACTGGAGAAAAAGAAGAAAATGTTAAAAAGAACAGATACAAGGACATACTGCCATGTAAGTTTGAAACGACCTTGATAGAACAAACAGAAATGCTAATTAGCCTTTTGTAACCTAACTGGCTTTATTCTTCTTGAGTTTGATTGTTAAGGAGGTAGTAATTAACTTCTCTTTTAAAGTACCCTACAAAATAAATAATCTGTAGCTGTTCTTCTTGTTTTTCCACCTGATAGTAGTTTCTGTTGTTTTTCTTTTAAGCATCACAATTGATCTAATACTAAACTACTTTTAAATGCCAAAAATCTAAGAATATCTTTTGTGAACCTCTGTTCAAATAAGTTATTTCATAAAAATAATATAGACACTTGAATGGATTTTATAAACTGCTAAAAATATTGATTTATCTGTTATCTCATCAGAACCTGAATTGATTAATCATGCATGGTAAAAATGAACTTTAAGATGATCCAGACACCTATATATCTACTGTACTATTCTCACCATTCTGAATATGTATATCTGAGCATGTCTTAGACCAAGGGTGTCCGATCCTGGGTCCGTGGGCCACATGCTTCCCAGGATGGCTGTAAATTCAGACCAAGACAAATCATAAATTTACTTAAAATTATAAGAGGCTCTTTTGATGGAACTCAGTTGTGCTGTTCTCCAGTGTGAGCTTTGTCGACTACCACATCATGTTGAAATATCATATAAAATAAACATACGGGCACCAAGCCAGCTTGTCATTTTTATTAGAGATATTGATAATAAATGTAGTGTCACTGAAGAAATGGCTTCTTGAGTGCCATTAAAAGACACAGCTAAATCAAGAGATTTATGCAAAGCGGAAAAAAAATATGTTAAAACTATTTTCTTTGTCCATTGTCAACATATCTGGTATAGTTACTGTGGTGCCCTAGGGATGGTAGGTAAAAGAGAGGGACTTATAAAATAAATAGAAAAGGGTGGGTGGTGCCTGTGGCTCAGTGAGTAGGGTGTCAGCCCCATATACCGAGGGTGGTGAGTTCAAACCCAGCCCTGGCCAAACTGCAACAACAAAAA